TCTTCTATTGAAGGGAAAAAGAAATATGTTGTTGATGAACGTTATGCGATACATTCAGGGTCATTGTTCATTAAAAAATGTTTGGTCATTGTAGTGATAGACAAGACTAATCTGCAACAGTAAGTTCCAGCTCATTTTTCAGTAGTTGTCCATCACACGACTACTGTTGATTCTCATCTAGGTCACTGTCAGTCATTACTGTGCTCATTCTGATTACAAGCAGCAGCCAGCTATATGTTCACAGCTTTGGCCCCTGGATTTACTACTCAGGCTACATAGAGGCTACTGCTCTACCCTCTGATTGGTTGAGGTTATACCTACTGTGTGACAGGAAGACTTGCAAACACTACTCAGGGGCATAAAAACACTACAAATTCCTTTTTCTGTTTTTAGGGTAAATAAAGAATTGAATATATGTTATTTACAGTAAAAAAAAAATGTTACTGAACTGTAGCCTGTGATAAGCCTGTGCTTTTTGTATTAAAAAAACTTGTGCTAACGTCAGTTTCTAACCTACAAAGTTTATTTTTATCATCACTGCATTACAGCAGGTTTAGTTATTAAATATTTACACCTTCTACCTGCCACTTGTAACTGTTTATAACTGTGTAGCTAAAGTTAGCATGCTAATATCTGATCACAGAGATTGGTATTGGGATCGATGATGATGCTGATGCAACTTAACCTTAATGTGTGCTACTGCAACTATCCCTGCACCTCCTAGCAGACCTCCAGCTACTGCTCCAACTGGAACACCTATTGCAGCTGCAAATGGGACCTTCAACATAGGAAATACTGTTCCTCCAAGAGTGGCTCCACCTAGAGCAGAGACACTAACACAGAATGCGACTTTCCTCCTAACTCCCCAACCTTTTCCCTCTTTCTCAGCCTCTTCCTTTTCCTTGGTGTAGAACTTTTCTCCATTTTTCTGAACCATATTGTTGATGTGCTGCAGAAGCTCAGTGCGTTGAGATGGACTCTCATCATTGTTCTTAATGACATGGCAGTTTCCTTTACAGTCATCAACAAAGCTTTTGAGATCACTTTCTCCAACAAACTCTTCTATGGTTCCCTCCAGTTCCTCTCCACCGGTGAACAGAACCATCGTGTAAAGTGTAACGTTTTTGCTGAAAGTCTCCTTAAACATTTCCACTGCTTTCTGTTCCGGGGTTGTAAATCTGTCTTTACAGGAAAGCACAAAGAGGAAGACATGAGGACCAGGAGCAGCATGGGACAACACCTCCTCTTTCTCCTCCTCCAGACTCACTCTTTCCAAATTGCACAGATCAGTTTCAACAATGACAACATTTTGTTGTCGGATCTTTACTTCTTTCCTCTGACACTTTTTTGTCCCAGAGGAACATTTCTCATTTTCCTCTGAGCTCCCGAGGAGAATCTTCCTCACTGAAGTAATCCGATTTTTTCCCCTGCCAACGAGCACAATCCTCAGCTCTGAAGGCTCTGTTTGAAAAAATAATAAAGACATCAGTGGATACTCACATCTCTTAATGCAGTCGAAGTAGCAAATTTACTTAAGTAAAAGTACAAAGCAAAGGCATCAAAATAAACATAAAATTTAAAAAAAGGACCCCTCAAATAGAGCAGGGCTGGACTGTACTCCTTTGTAAAATAATTTTGAGACCCAACAGTTCCCACTGTCTTACACTTTTGGTTTAAAGTTATTGATGCATGTTCATCACATTAATGTTGCAGCTGATAAAGGTGAAGCTAATTTTAATTATTTTATATATTGCTGAGTAGCTCGTCAATTTCCCCTCAGATCATTTATTTGATTCATGTTAATATTCAGAACAGAATGTATTTATTGATGTCACAATTTGTGTTGTTTTTCTTGAGTGCATGGACAAGCAAGATATTTTGTTGTTTTGATTTTATTTTGTAGGACTTGTATTCCAGCTTTTGTTGTTGATATTTTTGAAGTTTTGAAGGATGTTTATTCAGTTTTGTTATTTTAGTGCAAAACCCAAAAGGGTCAGTAGGTGGCAGTCGGATGTTTGGAAGCCAACTGAGACTCTGTTATGTGCTCTCTTTGGCTCTCTTGTCATTCTGAACAAGAAGCAACCTCTGGCTTCAAATGAAGTAAACGTGGAAGTAAAAAACCTGCAGTTCCCTGTTCACAAACCGGGCCATACAGCCATGACAAAATGGAGGGAGATGCACACAAAGCCAATGAAATTATTTATTAAGGAAAGAATACTTAAACTAAACTAACAGTAGTATGTGAAATCAGTAAGATTAGTGGTGTTTTAAAGGCGCATGGCACACAGGCCTCAGGTGTGTCCAATTTGCTGACGACCCTCTGCAACGCCCACTTAAAGTACCCCCCCCCCATAAGATGGGGGTCCCACAGGATCTCTGTCAACACAACAAAAACACCAAAATTTACTCAAGTAAATAACAAAGCTTACGTCCTATAAACTTCCAGTCCCAAAACCATTCCCCCAGCAACCACTCAACCTATAGGGAGCAAACTTAAAGGACAGTTTCGGCACAAAATGAACCTGGGGTTAATAACACATGTGTACCGAGTTGGTCCGGTCTCTGGGATATGTTTTCATGCTAATCGACCGTGACCGGTTTTAGCACAAACCGCTAATTACCTTATAACGCTGGTCAACGGGGCACAGAGTAACGTGAAAAGAAAGTTATTTCTATACCACTAACAAGACTCAAAATAACACCACACTTACACGGTAGCATAATGAGGGCCCCTACTTGTAAACCGAAGCATTGAGAACTTTGTAAGTGTACAGACAGTTTGTTAAAAAGATAGTTTGGTGATGGGTCTTGAGTCTCACCGCCATCTGAACCGCTCGTCGAGTCTGCGAGCAGCCCCTGTACGGTACAGGCTCCATGAAAATGCTGTCCATTGTTTATTGTTGTTGAGAGAAAACAGGCAGATTCAAACTGTTTATATTGCACTGTAACTGGATTGTCCTGTTGAATTCTGATTTCTGCTTAAAATGAGCTGAGGACCAAAATGCTTCTTGATTCTAGGAGATTATGGATTTTTGTTTGTGTCTTGTCTGTGGACTTCCTCTGTGATGGCTCTATCAGTTCAATACATTTGTGTTGGGAGTAGGTGTTGTAAGATATATATATATAAATATTGGATGCTTTGAAAGTGGTTGCTTATTTATTTGTTTGTGAAAATGGAGGACACTTCCTTCCCTCTCTCTGTAGTGGGTCAGTTTTGCCAGATTAAACTGATGCTGATGTGTTTAGTTTTCATAACATATGTGAGTGAGTGGTCTTGACAAGAGAACATAGCGGTGTGTTTGTAGTTCTATGAGCATTTGCACATCTGTACATCAAAATGCACTTGATGACAGTTAGTTATTGAAGTATTGATTATATTTACTGTATATTACTGTCATTTATTCTGTATTTTGCCAGATTATGGCGATCCTGGGGTCGTGATGATGGGGCCCTTGAATATTGTTGCCCAGGGTACAGTGAAGTGTTAATCTGGCCCTGGTGTCACCCCAGACTACACATAGACTGTAAAATGCTGAAGGGCCCAGATTAACGCAAGGGCCTTCATCTCAATCACCGAGTAGTTTAACTGATACCGATTGAATTTCTTAGAAAAGAAACTTACTGCCCTGTCCACTCCCTAGCATTTGTTTTGACAACTCCCCTGCAGCATATAGACGATGCCTAAACCCATTGACATAGTCAATAATATTGATGGGCGGATCTGATTGCTTTAACTCATCCTTAAACACAGACAATGGACCCCAGCAGAAGAAAACACAAGAACCAACAGAAAGCATTGCATAAGTCAACTAATGCACAAACAAGACACTAATGGTGTCCCCAAAACTAATGTGGAAGTCCCCCTCTACCTAAACTGCCTATCCACAGACTAAGCTACTTCACTAAACCCTAGTCTTTATGAAGATTAGCGGTGGGCTATGTAAACACTTAAACCAATAGCCCGGTCAGGCAGGCAGCAAGCTGGTTATTCACCTGAAAGCTATGGATGTGTCCCCGAGACAACTGCTCTGACCGCACACCATACAGAAAACAACTAAAAAAATAAAACAAGCCGAAATGGACCATGTTGCTAATACTTGAACAGGGAAACTCCAAAGAAGCCAAAACATACCACACTAGGGGACCAAACAATCACTTCTGCTAGCTCCTAACTCTCCCCAAACAAAGAATGTGCCAAATTGACCGTACGCCTCAGCCAACACCAATGCACTTGCAAACAAATACCCTACATCAATCAGATTACCAAATAATGGCCACAAACTAATCAAATTTGAACCGAGTTTTGGACAAGCCAAACCCAATAAGAAGTCAGCCATTTTTAATTTTGTGGTCATTGTTGGTGGTTTGTATACGATGTACTTTAACAAACTCCTCCTCGAGAATTTAATGTAAACACGATCATGATTAAAATTTCTGCTACGTGTGAGTAGCAGGAAACAGTAACAGGAAATTACATGTTACCTATGCTAATGCCATGGACGCATATGACACCACAGCCCTTCCCCCTCGGCAGGTCAGACCACAACCTGGTCATGATGACTCCCAAGTATGTCCCTCTTGTGAGAAGGCAGCCTGTGCACACCAGGACAGTGAGGAGGTGGACACAGGAGACCGCTGAGGCACTTCAGGACTGCTTCGAGTCGACAGACTAGGATGTACTCGGTGAGCCACATGGGGAGGACATCGATAAGATGACTGCATTACGGATTATATCAGATTCTGTGAGGACACCACCATGCCAGCCTGGACTGTTCACTGCTTCTCCAATAACAAGCCCTGGATTACCAGTGACCTGAAAGCACTCCTGAACAAAAATAAGAAGGCTTTCAGGTCGGGAGACTGAGAGGAGCAGAGGAGAGTGCAGCACGAAATCCGAGAGATGCTGAGGACGTGCAAGGACAACTACAGGAGAAAGCTGGAGGCCAACTCCAACAGAACAGTGTGAGGGATGCACATCACAGGGAAGAAGGGGAAAGACAGGCAGACATCTGGGAGCCTGGATAGAGCTAATCAGTATAACCACTTTTTCAACAGGTTTAGCTCACCTCCTGCTACCCCTACGACACCCCCAGTCCCCCACACACTCTCACTGTCCCAAATGGCTCGACCCTCCCCCGTTAAATTTCAAAATCTTTATTCTACCATCTTAAAAACATAGCAAATATCATGGGATTCATATCTTGGCAGGACCTACACTACTCCATGCTTCCACTTCCAGCAGGTTAGATTACTCTAAAGGTCTTTTTAGGACAAAAAAATCTTCAGACAATTCATTCAGCTGCGCCTAGAGTCCTAACAAAAACCAAGAACAGTGAACACATCACACCAGTTCTCAGGTCTCTGCACTGGTTTCCAGTGTGTCACAGGATAAAGTTGCTGCTGCTTGTCTATAAATCTTTCATTTTTTATTGTTATTTTATTTTATTTATATTTCAGTTCTTAGCTCTTTAATTTCCTTTAAAATTATCTTGTGCATTGTGGAAAGCACTTTGAATTGCCTGTGTAATGTACTATTTAAATATACTTGCATTGCACTTTTACCACATAAATTGCAGATTTCCGCGTAAAATATGCGGGGCTTGCGTGATTTTATAATCCCTGCATTATGAAAAATGTTGCGTTTACTTCACACAAGAGCAGCCATTTTCCCCTGTTGCCATGGGAACGTTATGAAGTGCCGTAATTACGCGACGTGAACATCATCGAAAAGCTGCAAACCCCACGATGAAGCCATGGTGAAGCCCGCAAATCAGTCTCATTTGCCAACAAAAATAAGCATCAATATCCCGCATATTCCA